GGGGGCTTGTTGTAAGTTCTTCTGAACTGACCCCACAATATTTATTAAGAGAATACTTGTCATACTAATTGTGAGGCAAGCTGGCAAAATGAGTTACTTCTCACAATCCATAAATGGAACTATTTGCCAAAACTAGACACTAACTAGTGACAAATTTGTAGATTTTTTATGGACGCCATATTCTTTAAGTATAACATGCCCTTTAATATTTCATACTTATAAATTGTAAAACTTTCACCCATAAGTATAAGTGTGTTGTATCTATTTCCCATAGGGTTCAAATCCGAGAAGTAACTCATTTTGTCAGCACGCTTCACAATTCATTGTTATGAATGAACAACTAGTGATTTTTAGAGATGTAAAGGAGAGTATATTTTTGTATGTGTCACAACGCCCTGGAATCGGGCACTCGTCAATTTTTGGGCATGTGGAGTTATTGATTATATCATTTTGAAACTTGTTCATTTGTCTTGCTTTCTATGGAAAAAATTATCCAGTTATCTTGTACACAAAAATATTTGCGATTGAAGGAGGTAGGGTTTGCCTGGTTTCATAGGTAAACTGAGTGGGAAATGGCCACCAAAGTTTAGTTATTTCCTTAACTTGAGAGTTAGATGAAACAAAATTTAGATTATTTGTGCCTTTAATCAACGTTTTTCAGTGCAATCCACACAGGAATGTGTTCTTTAATGTATGAAAGGTGTTGAGCCAAAAAAACAAAAGTTCGATAAAAATTCCCAAACCTGCGGGGGAAAATGCCAGTTTCTTCAGTTTCATTATTTGAAGAGCGCCTGATTTCACCGCAATTCCTCACATATTGTTTTGCAGGGCCCTGGACCTAGGAGGGTTCGGCAGCACCAATCGTCAGTTGATCCTCAAGAGTAAGTGTGGCCCGTGATGTTGCTGATTGCAAGTCATTTTACTTTAAGTATTAAGTTTCCTTTCCAGTAAATATACTAGAATGTGTACCCCCTGGAGCGGTGCTACTGACTGAAGTGTTTTTAGGCCATTCCCAAAGGGGGGACATTAACCTGTTCTTATGCGCAGTAGAATTGTAAATGGGCTGATTCATCGATGTCATGCTTATAACTGTGCCTGAACTGCAACAGGGAACTCCTGCTTTTTCTTTCCTAATCCTTACTATCTTCATTTCCTCTACTTCTTTTCTTGTGACCCGCTATTTCCGGGGTGCCTTGATAGTCGAAGCAGACTTTGTGCTGTTGAAGATAGAGAGGTGAGCAGAGTAAGTCTGATTCCCTGAAGGACTTCTCTGTTGACATCCACCCCTTGGCTTTTGTTAAATGTTTTTCAGTATAACTCACCTAGAAATGTGTTTTTATGACCAATGACCTTAAAAGATTTCGAACCCCCCAAAAGAAAAATTATGACATTGCCAAACGGGCTTTAAATTGGGGGGGGGGGGGGGTATTATTTTGACGAGCTCCTTTTGTCTTTATCCTTGTCAATGTGATAGTACCTTTGGAGGAATCTATGTCTGCTTTTCTGTAAAGTGGAGTCGCTTTAATTTTTTTTTAAATTTATATTTTTTTGTCCAACGTTGCAGGTGTAATGGTCAATCTGTTCATGCGTTGTAGAGCAGAATATCCCTGTGTGGTGTATTTTCTTTAAAGGTGCATGTGTACTTGTAAGGGTTTCTATTTAATATTGAGAGTTTCCCTTTAGCTTGTCTCCAAAGCGGAAAGTCCTGGTTCGAGCCTTGGTTCGGACACAGATTTTTTTCGCCCCCTCCTACCCACCCTGCTGTAATGAGTGCCTGACTTCGAGTTGGGGAAGTAAAGGCGGCGTGGAAAGGAACTGGCCACCCTACCACAATATGACGCAGGCCCAGGATGTTGCCCCACTAACAACATAATCACCAATGTCCAGATTGGATGCTGGAACAACTTTACTTTTTAACTTTACCTTTAGCTCAGTTGTCACACTACAGTGCTCCAGGATTTCATTGGAATCCCCAACTGGGCATTCTTAAAAGTCGTGTTGGGTAATTTTCAAGGCCCACGGGACTCTTGTCTTGTTGATGATGGACGTTAAATTAAATTCTTAGGACCCTCGTAGATACCCTTACGCTATATAAAAGGAGTTATGTGTCATGATGTGCTTGACGTTGGCATCTTTTTGGTGAGACGTTAAAGTTTGTTTCCTTTCTTTCAGTTTGTGAGCTGTATTGTGAAATTGGTTCAGACCCACAAAGGATGAAGGTAATCTCTCAAACTATTTCTTTGTTAAGTTTTTTTTTCTTCAGAATTCTACCCAAGGGTTATGTATTTCATTAAAAGTATACTTATGGCATGAAGTATTTTAATTTAAGGCTGTTACAAATAAATTATCCTTACGTATAAGTTCGTCTCTTTCGATTTACTTTAAAAAATTAAATAAGGAAGAAAATAATTTTAGAAATAAAGTGTTGTTTTTTTAAATTTCGTACTCTCCCCTCAAACAGTATTTACATCAGTCACATTTATTCATCTGTCAGTCTGTGCCTCAGAGATACAAAGGTGAAATCAACATGTCCAGAAAATGTTTCCTTGTTGTTTCAGTAATATTTTGTGAGAGTACTATTCTTTCCTTGAAAAATGCAATTTTCCGTCTTCACACCACAGGCACATACTTGGTTGTCTCTCAGACTTGTCTGTCTGTTTTGTTGATTTTTTCAAATTTTGTGGCCTCTTTCTTCTCTTTGTCACCAGTACTGGCTTGATAAATGCGAAGAGTTCTTCCCAAAGAGTGAAATAGTCTTCAATTTAAAGGTATGTTGATTGTGTTATAACTGAATTTTTGTCATGTCATTACGTTTTTAATCTGACTTGTGTGTGCAATGGATTAGGCCATTCCCAAAGGGGGGACATTTCTCGTTCAAGCACAGTAGAATTGTAAATGGGCTGATTCATGTCATGCTCATAACTGCCTGATCTACAACAGGGAACTGCTGCTTTTCCTTTCTTAATCCTTACTATTGTCAATTTCCTCTACTTCTTTTGTATGTCTGTCACTCTGTTGTGACTTGCTATTTCCGGGGTGCCTTTATAGTCGAAGCAGACCTTGTGCTGTTGAAGCTAGAGAGGTGAACAGAACAAGTCTGATTCCCTGTAAAGACTTCTCTGTTGACACCCACCCCGTGGCGCTCATATGACCTTATGCAGTTGCGAGCGCCGTAAAACCCTCTACTATAAATAAAACTATAAAAATGGATCAGTAGTTTGTAATATGCGCAACAAAACCCAATCGGTTAACTGAGCGAAAATGGTGTTTGTTTTGAGATAAATTCTTTCTTTGTGTTCTTAGCTTCACACGTGTGTGCGTTCTATATTTACTGAACACATGTTTGTCTTTTTTGATGTTAGTTATTTAAGCCCTTATCGAAATGTTGCATTTTATTTGCAGAGCAAGATTGCCTCTTCCAATGCCTCCGGAGACAGTGTTGAGATGGAGAGTTTGATTACTTCAGAGCTGGCAAGTGCTTCTCCCCTCCCCTTTTTACTTTCTACATATTCAAGTTACTTGATCATAAATATTTTGGCTCAAAGATGTATGCTATGAAGTGTTTCATTCGTTCAAATTTCATTAATAGTTTGATAAATATTGCAAATATGGAGACAAGTGAGTTATTAATACTACCTCATATGTAAGTCCTTTGGCTTTGCTTAGCATATATCCCTTTTGAAGAAAAAACTTTTTACCCCTGTCACTTGGGCTAAAGCCTGACATAATGTACAGGTTAGTTATCTTAACAGTATAGTTTTGCTTGGACACTTGTGTCCTGGAGCATCTAAAAGTTGACAAATAAGAAAATTAATTACATTTTATTGATACGTGTACAGTGGACAGCCACCGTTGTAAGACAAGAACCTGTACAAAAGGGCACTTCCTTTTTCCTCCCTTACATTTTTTTTTTTTTTTTTTACATTAAATGAAACTGTAAGATGGCCACCTATCTGATATGGGCTTTTTTCCCCTCGACAGTGGAAGGGCTGCCTATCATTGTGAATTTGGAGAAATTGTTACGATTTTTGTTCAATTTTACGAAAATCTGATCGTAATACCCCTAATTCCAATTTTTTTTTGAAATTTCGGATATCTCACCCAACCGACTGCTTACCTTCCCGCTATATAAGGAGAGACAAACACACCCAGACTCGGACAGACTATGTCACAGGCAGATGTAGCATCATCACTATTGCCTTTCTCACCCTGCCTCAGGGTATAGGCCACGGACAAACACAAACCAGACTCGGACAGACTATGTCACAGGCAGATGTATCATCACCACTATTGCCTTTCTCACCCTGCCCCAGGGTATAGGCCACGGACAAACACAACCAGACTCGGACAGACTATGTCACAGGCAGATGTATCATCATCACTATTGCCTTTCTCACCCTGCCCCAGGGTATAGGCCACAGACATACACAACCAGACTCGGACAGACTATGTCACAGGCAGATGTATCATCATCACTATTGCCTTTCTCACCCTGCCCCAGGGTATAGGCCACGGACAAACACAACCAGACTCGGACAGACTATGTCACAGGCAGATGTAGCATCATCACTATTGCCTTTCTCACCCTGCCCCAGGGTATAGGCCACGGACAAACACAACCAGACTCGGACAGACTATGTCACAGGCAGATGTAGCATCATCACTATTGCCTTTCTCACCCTGCCCCAGGGTATAGGCCACGGACAAACACCTTCCACCTTTCTCTATCCCGGGCTAGCCTCTTGATTTTATTCCATGTCTTCCTACTTTTCTGTACATCGATTTCTGTGATTCTCCTCCAGGTTCCACGCGCGGTCTTCCCTTTGATCTCTTACCCTGTGGGTTCCAATCCAGGACAGATGTATAACTTTCACATTCTTTTTGCATTGAGCCCTTTTGGTCGCTCTGTGCCACTTTGCCCTTAGAAAAAACAGAAGATAATAGAAGTCCCAAAGCCAAGAGTAAGGCAAACATTAAATTGACAAGGTAGTATAAAATTTCTGGCCTTTTGCGTTGTGGGCGACAGCTTTGGCCAATGAGAGAATTTTTGAAAACAGGATATTTGTTTGAATATTGAAACCGTTAACCGTGGTAGGTGTGTGGCATGATGTTATGTATTCTGTAGTTCCAAAGATTTCTTTGGGGTGTTTTTTTTCCTACGCGTATTTGATTTTTTTTTGTATTGTGTGTTCTATGAATTTCATATCATCTCCAGATAAAGCGACCTACAGACCTGAATCTGCGAATCAAGCTGCTCAACATCTATACAGAGAGTCAGAGATATGAGGAGGCTTACAGTGCTGCTGTCAGTACAGATCTCACCACTGCCTTTGTGGGCAGTTTGCATTGGTTTGAGGTTTTGGTGTCTGTGTTCCAGGTAGGTGTCCTTTTGATTAGCACTTTTTCTCACACTTTTCACTGTTTCGTTTTAGTGGTGGTTGTAAAAATTACTCCACTGAGTACAGTCAAACCTGCCCTGACGGCCACCTCTATAAGAAGGTCACCTGTACAAACGGCCACTTTCCATTTTCCCCCTAGCGTTTTTTCTACTTAATTTAACTGGGTAAAACGGGCACCTGTACAACGCGGCCGCGGCCACCATATTTTAACACACAACCCCTATCACACTAAGCAATAACACCTGTCTTAGGCGGCCACCTTAGTGACTCCATTACGTTTTGTCATAAATTGTGCATTGGCCCGTGGCGTGGTGGGCGAGCCGTCATAATTCAACCACCTGTCGTTGTTGTTAGGTAGTCCCTCCAACCGATCATGTTGCGTAGGCCCCTCCCACTGTTGACCAACAGGTACCGATTTTCAGCTTCCGGTGAGGTAAGCGTGTGATCCCTCATAACCCATAAGCCCCGCCCAGAACTCGTACACAAATCGTAAGTGAGATGAGTGGTCACTGTTTACCCAGTCTGTAACAAAGTAACAATAGACGTCAACATGAACTTGCGACAGAAGCGTTGATCGTTCTCGTAATGGTGGCGACCCTAGTGTTTGTTCTAACAAGGCACTCAGTCTTCCTCGTCTGACACATTTCGTTTTATTGTCACCCTTGCGCAAAATCATCGACAAAATAAAAATTACATACAAAATACAAGCCAACAAAAACAATGCGGCTACTTTCGATTGGGACCTCAGATGGGAATGGTTTGTTTTCTTCATCTTGATTAGTCCTGCCTAAGACGGCCACCTGTCTTATACGGCCACTTTTCTCCTTGACAATGGGTGGCCGTCTTACACAGACAGGTTTGACTGTAATTTGAAAATCAGAGAGTTTCTTCAAATGGTCTAAAACTATCGATGTTCCACTGCAGTGTGGCCTCAAATGACTCTTTCGGTAAGAATGTGAATTCTTTCTCTGTTTGAGTTGTTTGGAAGAGGAAGGGAAAATTGACTTTTCTGTTTAGACGTATAATTTTTGGGACTTAAAAAAAAAAAAAAAAAGTCTATGGGAATTCAGATAAATAAGGGGTTCACAGGTTTGGTTTTGCAAAATTCACGTGTGGTTGATGATATTAATGCCAGATGACGAAGGATGGTTGAACTGTGACTAAAAATGTAGTGGTGGTAGTTAGCTTGTTGTGATAAGCTCTTTGATGCCTTGTTGTGATAAGCTCTTTGGGTCTACTCTTTTTCTTTTCTTTTCTTAAAAAAAAACCCAACACATTTTTTTGTTACTTTGCAAGATTTCTATCTCATATGTGCTAGTTTTATTTGATGCTATTTAAAGACAGTGAGTGTTGATTGGTGTATATTCCGCACTCATCACACTATGAGATAACACCGCGGGGCGATGCCACTGACTGAAGTGTCTTTAGGCCATTCCCAAAGGGGGGACATTTTTCGTTCTAATGCACAGTAGAATTGTAAATTGGCTGATCCAACAATGTCATGCTCATAACTGTGCCTGAACTACGACAGGGAACTGCTGCTTTCTCTTTCCTAATGCTTACTATCGTCATTTTTTCCTCTACTTTTTTTTGTGTGTTTGTCACACTCTTGTGACCCGCTATTTCCGGGGTGCCTTGATAGTCGAAGCAGACTTTGTGCTGTTGAAGCTAGAGAGGTAAGCAGAGTAAGTCTGATTTCCTGTAAGGACTTCTCTGTTAACATCCACCCCTTGGCGCTCATTTGACCTTATGCAGTTGCGAGCACCGTAAAACCTCTACTAAAACAAAAAAACACGGAGATGGAGTTACAATTTGATGTCTAAACTCCTCAGGGCTACTCTAAACAAGTGAAGAGTGCAAAAGAAGACCGAGACTTTCTTCTACATTATATGCATGTCCTTCGCAATGTGGCGTTCCTCCAGTTGTCTTGCAAGGATGTTCAGAGTTGTAGTCGAGCTCTTGAAAGGTAAAAAAATCATTTTTAAAGTGCTAAACAATTTTTCTCTTTTACTACTGGACTTTAAGATGAGTCAGATTACCCCGGATATAAGACTTTCTCATCTAATGTTAAATATGAGTCTAGAAAATGCTGGGCATTCTTAGTACCTTTGTTATTTACATGATTACTTGCTAGTAAAAGGAAATGAGTCGACGGAAATTTCTCACTCATATCTTGAATGTCTCCGATAAACTTTTTGCCCCACCCCCCATGGGTTGGTGGATTTACTTCCATGGTTGTTGGTTTGAGAAAGCTTGAGAACATTTCATTCATCATGTTGTTGTTTTTTAACAGTGAACACCTTTCAATCTTTTTAAAATTTGTGTTTAGAATATTTTTTTTCTCCCAAATATCATGTTCATAAAATGATTGGAAACCCTACACCTTGCCACAAGAACTGAGAATCAATCACTGAATGCACCATAAGTAGCAATGCTGTCACTTGGCTCTCTTAGGTTTGACAAGGAGTTGAAGGTGGCAACATCTCTCAGGAATGAAGACGAAGCATGGACTTCATTTGTGAAGGAAATGAAAGGTCAGATCTACTACCTGGCTGGCCTGCTGCTTCTGAAACGATCTCACAGTGTAAGTTGCGTTATTTGTCTCTTTGATTTTGGCTGTTTATTTCAGGGGGACTGCCGTTGATTTTCGACTCTGGGGGAGTTTTGGGAATAGAATAGTTAATAAGTCTGGTTGAGGCCTTTTGCTGGTGTTTACAGTGTTTTTACAGTAATCTGCCGCTCCATATTGCTGTAATAGCCACTACATCAGTTTCAAGAATCTTACCTCCTGGGTTTCGGGGAAAGAGTCGTCCACTGTCACATTCAACTGGTCGCTTTTAAGCACAAGGGGGCTGTCCCGAAAATTGCTGTTTTTGAGAAAATTGAAGATAAAGTTTTTGGAGCCTTGTTCAGTTTCTTTACTAGACAAGGAGGGTTTTCTCTATAACCAAACAAACATAGGCACCAATGAAACCAAACTTGTCCTATAGGTAGGGCTATACCCACTTTTGGTGTAGGTCAAGATTTCTGGAAACCCTCCGAAGTCTTTAAAAGAAACCAAATCTAGCCTCAACTTACCACATAGATGGTTTCATAAGGCTTGTATTGCCTTTAACAATTCTCTGTTTAGATTCATGTCATTTTGGTGACTGGTAATAATGTGGTTCAAAGATGACAAACTTTTCCAAAGGGGACTTCAAAATTTTGTGAAAATATATGTAACCTTTTTCTTTTTCTTTCTAGTCAGCATGCCCTATGTGTGAAGGTATTTTTTATGAACCTGAAATTTGTCATAAGCATAAATAACACCTTTCTTTCTCAAGGTTGGAGGAAGATGTGTCTTTTAAATTGTTTGCTTTTCTTATGCCTCTTATGTTGGTTTTTGTCATTTTACCGTTATGAAGCTTGGTAATTTTCTTTGACCATCTTCTGTAGTGTCAGGCCTGCCAACCTTCCCGATTTTGTCAAAAAATTTCCCGAATCAGATGTGCTACTCCTGACTTCCGGATAGCAGTCTTGATTTCCCAATTTCGGAGCTGCACTATATCATAATATTATTACAATTATTTGCGCGAAAATGACGAATGAAATCGACGATACCGCAACTCGTGTGTTGCTGAAATATCCAGATTAGTTGTGCGTCCTTTACTGTTTGGCAGTTCGGCTACATACCATGGTCAACTAAACCTGGCGACCGAATTTGCACTCTATGTTTGCTCGATCCTGACTCGGTTCCTCCTTGTTGGCCATAAATACGGAGATCTTTGCGCTAATTTTTCTCTATTTTACATTTTCAAAAGTTGGCAGGCCTGGTAGGGTAATGTTTAGTCCTTTCGCCTTTGCGTGCAGAAGGCGTGAGTTTGATGCCCATATGTGGTAGTAATTCCATCTAGCATCTTTGACTGTACGTTTGCTAGGGTTAGGTCCTGACAGGCAGAGTTGAAGTGGCCTGCATCTTATATAATCTATTATTGGTGTTGTGGTAAAACATTTACTATCAAGGAATATTGTATTTCTTTTGATTGGGAAAAGGCACTATTCCCTCTTCATTTGTTTGTTTGTTTGTTTTTTTTCAGAATGTTATTTCAGTCATGTTTAGACTGAGGACAAGGCATTTCTTGCCTTTTCCACCAAAAAAAAATGCTCGAGCGTTTTTTTCTTTTCATAGGGTGCTATTTCCTGGCAAGAGGGAAATCAGTTGGGTGGAGCGTGCTTTCTGGCAAGTAGTGTAATCGACCCCCTGGATGCTCAGTGCCCCTGGTTTGTCAGGGCACCGCAGAACTACAGCAAGTTCTACCAATGGTGGTACCATCAGAGCTATGACAGGCTCTCTCAAGTCGGTGAGTTCTTACAAACTACTTGGAAGTGGGTGGTTGGCGGGTGCTCTGGTGTGGTTTGCCTCTGCTGCTTCTTCTTTCCTATCAAACGTCTATCGTCTTTTATCTCCCCCTCCTTCTTTTTTGTGTTTGTTACTATCTTGTAACACCTCTAATCTTCGGCACTAATATGACCTTATTGTGTTGCAAGTGCCTTAAAACTCTTACTAAAACTCAACAAAAAAAATCACTGTGCATGCAGGATGGAAAAGAAAAACGCCTGTCGTAATCAAGAGTATCAGGTCACATGTGCCCACCAGGCGTGACCCGACACTGTGCACACACTCACACACTGCTGATATCAGGGATGGAAGTTTTCCGTAAATTTACGGAAATCCGTAATTTTGATTTGCGGCATCATTTTCCGTAAGTGGGACCCAGCCTACTTTCAGTGGTGAGTCATTCTACTATGTATGTACTGATCTACAGTTGAATAAGTGTATTCTTCCAAATCTGTATACCCCCGCGACAAGTTCAGTAAATTTTGGACTGGTCAGTTTCCGTCTCTGTGGTATAAGTACAGTCGAAATTGTCGAAGGCGGCGACCAGGTTGTCTTGGACTGTTGGACGCCTTACTCAGTGTCATTGAAATGTTAAAAAGGGCCAGGGGGGAATTTGAAGTGGTCATTTGTACATGTGGTTGTCTTATTTGTAAGATCATGCAGCGACAGATATGTACCTCCAAAAACAAAGAAAGAAAGATATAAAAGAAGTTTTTTACCATCTAGCATAAGGCTTTTGTCAGAATGAGCACAGATGTGTGTTGCTCTTAAAGTATGTATCTGCATGTAACTCCAAAGGTCTAGTATTTAAATTCCTGCATGTGGTTGAATGATGCATTTGATATGTACATTTTGTCAGCTTTACTTCTCCTTTCATTTTGAATTTTAATGAGAGTAATATATATGATTTAAATTTTTTAATGTATACCTGCATGTGTTTTTATGGTCCTGTACAGCCAAGGAAAATTTCCCTCTGGGATAATAAAGTACTATCTTATCTTATCTTATCTTATCTTATCTTATCTTATCTTATGCAGGTTGCTGTTAGAGCAGGTTTCACTGTAATTTGGTTTAACTTTTTTTTTTCTTTTTTTTTCTTTTTTTTTCCCCCTTCTTCAGGTCACATGTTGCAGCAGCTCTCTCAGAGTGACATTGTGCAGTGGAGCAAGTCTGTCAAGCAGCGCACCATGACTGCCACGGGACATCAGAAAATCTTCAGGGCGCTGTACTCGCTGCAGGATCAGGAAGCTAAGCAGGAAGACTTCTTTCTGTACTCGACCGAGGACTTGGTTGGTGGTCCTGCTCTGCAGGAGCCTTTGTCAGCGCGGCAGCTCGTGGACATCGACAGAGGTGAGTTTCACTTGTGTCTAGACACCATCCCCCCCCCCCCCCCCCCCCCCCCCAAAAAAAAAACAGCGGCAGGAAATGTTACTTTGTAAAGCGTGTTGCTACACAGTTTTGAATAAGCTGGAGATAAAAATCTTCTGTGTTACGCAAAATGTATGTCTTGTTTTTATTTGACCACTAGTATAGCTGAAAGTCTTAAATAACCGCATCTTTTATGCTCATTTAAAAACACATTTCTGTGTGGATTCTGCCTTTGGGGAAAATGATAAATAAAGATGCAAAAACTATAGATTTTCCGTTTCCAAGGACTCTCAAGCTTTGGAAGTCATCAAACTTTGGGGGTCATTTTCTTAATAATTTTGCCTCTGAAAGTAGCCAACCCCCACCTCCTTCAATCGCAAATATCTCATTTTCTATTAAAGATAAAACGGTATTTTTATTATCCAAAGCAAGGCAAGTAAACAGGCTTTAAGATGATACCAATAACTCCTGACGTCAAGAAATTGATGGGCGCCTGATTCCAGCATGTCCTTACACTTATTGCCTTGTTCCGTGCTTCGGTATGTCTGCCTGCAGGAGTGGGTGGTTGGCGGGTGCTCTGGTGTGGTTTGCTTCTTCTTTCCTATCAAACATTTATCGTCCTTTTCTCTCCTCCTTTTTTATGTTTGTTACTCTCTTGTAACACCTCTAATCTTCTGGCGCTCATCTGACCTTATGCAGTTGCGAGCGCCGTAAAACCTCTAACAAAACTTTAAAAAACTGCCTGCAGGGTTGGTCAATATGATTATGATAGTTATTAATGATAGCTATATGAACTTGAGTCCAGTTATTTGATTTCAAGTTTCATTTCTCAAATTTAAAAGTCTTAACCCTTTTTTGGGGCAGCATTTGCTAACAGAATCATTCCTACTGGAAACCCGTTAAACAGTTACAGTGTAGAAGTTTCATTTGTGTTTATGTTCCCTCCAGTTGCCTCTCAAGTGCACTTGAACAAGCTGTCCAATCTGGTATGGCTCTGTCTGCAGCGATACTCCTCCGACATGAATGCCCAGCCCAATTGTACGTATTAATTAGTGCCTGCTGACTGCATGCTAGCAACATCTTTTTCTTTTGATTTAAAAAAAATTAAATATGTGAGCTGTGCTGACAAAATGAGTTACTTCTCGCAATCCACAAATCGATATATTGGCCAAAAATGGACACTAGAGTCAAATTTGTAACATTAAAACAATTGATGCCATATTCTTTAAATGCCTTTATTATTTTATAATGAATGTGAATGCTAAAAACTTCACCTATTAGCGTGATGTATTTCTTTCCATAAGGCTCGAATCCGAGAAGCATATCATTTTGTCAGCACGTTTCACATATTATTTCGGGAGAAAATGTTTTTAAAGTGGCAAAGCAAAGTTACCTATTTATTTGTAGGTCATAATTGCCGCAGCCTTGCAAGAGAAAAGATGAATGAAACTGGGTGCAAAGCATTAAAACGTAGAGTTTTGCCGTGAGCCTTGTTATATGACACTTTTATGTTCTAGACATGGAACAGGACTAGGCTGCTTCAATGAAGACTGTTGCCAGTTAAACGGCAAATGGTAAATTACAAAGTTTGATTGGAATTCAATGAAGACTGTTGCCAGTTAAACGGCAAATGGTAAATTACAAAGTTTGATTGGAATTCAATGAAGACTGTTGCCAGTTAAACAGAAAATGGTAAATTACAAAGTTTGATTGGAATTCAATGAAGACTGTTACCAGTTAAACGGCAAATGGTAAATTACAAAGTTTGATTGGAATTCAATGAAGACTGTTGCCGGTTAAACAGAAAATGGTAAATTAGAAAGTTAGATTGGAATTCACTTATAGGGTGAATTGTTCTGTTACTGAATGAGGGTGGGGTTGTTTGTTTTTTAACTATTTTATTTCAAGAGCTCTGACTTTTTTTCACCTGATGAGCAGCTTAAGCATTACAATGCATTAGATCAATCGACTAATAATTTTTTTTCTGTGTTACGGGGCTCGTGAGACTTTCCATCAAATTTTCAGTTGTTTACATGGTTTTATTTGTCAAGAATTGTCTAACTTATAAGTATGTCTTTGACCCTAATAGCCTTGCTTTTTTCACTTATAATTTTTTTAATCTGTCGCATGAGTTGACATGTACACAGGTGAAAAGCTTGTGGTAAATATTGTGATGCTGGCCTGTCTTTAACTTATGAAAAGCAAGATTTTGTATGTTAACTTTTATGAGATATACCTTTGTAATGTAAGTCGCACCTTAGAATTAAAAAATTCTATCTTGACACTTTTGGCTGTTTTGAATTACTAAAACCATGAGGTCAGAAACCAAATGTTCTATGTACTCTATCAAATTCGTTAGATTATTCAGAGTCGTTATCAAGATATTTCAAAGAATAGCATTTTTAAAAAGCTTGACATTTTGTGAAACTCAAAATTTTTCACGTCAAATGTCTCAAAATTAGATCTAGGTACTGAGCAGTAGAACTCAGTAGTTCTGGGGTAGCAAAGTGCTAACTCATTGCACGCAAGTGTTTCTTCTGTCAAGTGCACTTTTTGATTACCTGTATTACTTGTCCTGGGCAACAACGTCATTTCACACCGGACAGGTCCATAAGTGCTGAGTTCCCCCCAGCACCAAAGCCCGCAAGGTATCCATACCGATTGTTCCGGTGGCTGTCTGATTATTGCGACGTCTTTCCTTTCCAGATAATCGTTCCTTTTGATTTGATAATTATGCAATCACAACTTCTTTTTTGTCTTTTTGTCCCGTGTCCTGATTTTGGTGCCCATATTTGTTGGTTACCTAAGAATGTATTGACATTGTGCAAATTGTTATGTTTTCTAGAAAAACCAAACAAGAAAAAGGGGAATTGTTAAGTCTGTGATGATGGTGACGGTGATGGTAAATGTGATGGTGGTCATGATGATGATTATTTATGGGGGCGATGATGATGTTCTGATGTTGCAATCACAACTTTATTGCAGACCACTTCAGTTTGATGGAAAACATCCAGTTCAGCACGAGAAACCTGGATTCCGGGGCCGGGGAGTCATTGTGTCAGCTGGACATTCTAGTGAGTTCCTCAACGTTGTTGGTCTGTCTCTTTATCTGATATCTCCGGCAAGTCGCTCGCTATCTATAGGTGGTTGGCGGGTGGTCTGGTGTGGTTTGCTTCTTCTTTCCCATCAAACATCTATCGTCTCCATCTCCCCTCCTTTTTTGTGTTTGTTACTCTCTTGTAACACATCGAATCTTCGGCACTTATATGACCTTATTGTGTTGCAAGTGCCATAAAACTCTTACTAAAACTAAACTGTCGGTGCCGATGAGCCGCCCCTAGTAGCTCGGTCACATTCCTTTACAGGACTTCGGGGTCAAATTACTTTACGGCAATTGCCAAAGCAGGTCTCTTTAACCATGCAATTTAGAATCACATTCCCACGTAATTCTCTCTTGTGTATGGAAATGCGACCCGACATTTTACGTTCTTAAAACTGCTTGTTTCGTGTCCAACTGATCAATAAAGCATTACCCAGGCGTAGAATTCATTTATCTTTGACTTCCAGGTCAAACTAAAGGCTTCTTAGCTCGTAATTTTTTATATTCGACCCATACCATAATGCAATAAGAACTTCGCATCGGATAGTGGTACCGTCCAGCCATTGTTAAGGACCTCGACTACCGGACGCTTCCACCGTCCAGACATGGTTAAAGAGTTAATCAGATATCCATTCATTAAATGAAGAACTACGTGGGTGAGTCAAAAAGTAATGCAAGTTCGTTTATAACTCAAAGAAAACAGAACGCACTTGTAACTATCATACCTCAAATTGAAGGGAAGCTTCTGAGGATTAGATTTTTATTCCTCAACATAGTCTCCATTTCATTCAATAGCCATTGTCCACCTTTTATTAAGTACACATATGCCAAGTGTGTAAAACTGAGCAGGTTGGTCGTAGGGGTACAGCAGTCTTGATTTCTCCATCGTTTCCATGGTGTTGACCTCGCAATGGTTCTTTTCAAGGACCGAAAAGGCTCGGAAGTCTAAAGGAGCCAAATCAGGAGAATAAGTTGGGTGTGGCAGTGTTTTCCACATTAACGGGGTGATTGTCTCCCTTGTACTGGTACTCGAATGCAGGCGGGCATTGTCATGGTGAAAAAACACTCTTCCCATGGTCAAATTTGGTCTGACTCAACGAAGTCTCGCTTTCAGTCGTTTCAATGTAGGGTTCAGAATTGACAGTTGCTCCTCGTTTTAAAAAAAAAATCTGTTAAAAGCATGCTATGAATGTCCCAAAGCAATATTGCAGTGATTTTTTCTGCTGACTCCTCGGGATGATGTTTCTCTGACTAATGTTTTGGGACACGTCTTCCTCTTCTTCCGGTTCAATACCCAAACGCCTGACCCATCTATATACAGTGATAAAATCTAGAGCTTGGTCCTCGTAAACATTTTCAAGTCTCTTTTGGATGTTATTGGTGGATTCTCCTTCTAAAACAAGAAATTCAATCACTGCTCTTTACCTCTGAAAGAGGGTAGCCATTTTGATGTGACGTCATTTTGGGTCAAAGTTAAAGAAACTTAAATTTTAGCAATTTGAATTCAAAAGTATATGAGCAAGTACTTGTGAACTGAATTTAATTAAATTTGATGCTGAATTGTGCAAAATAACGAACAACTTGCATTACTTTTTGACTCCCCCTCGTATCTAAAAGGTTCTCTGGTTTTGATTTAATGACCAATTTAGGGACATAATGTGTCATTTTTAGATTTCGTACTGAACGAGGGCCCCAGCATAGTGGGTTTACCCTGCTCGGAGTTAAATGTCCCAGTCTTCCGTTGCTTTCTCGTAAGAGTATCTTGTATTGCTAAAAAAAAAAGTATTTTACTTAGTTTGAAACACATTTAGAGAGGCCAGGTTGCATGATGTCTACGTTTAGGTTTGTTAGATAGATAAGTTTTTGTCATTGTAAAGGGCAACATAAGATTCCTGGATTTTTTTTTCACGAAACGCTGAGGGGAAGTGTTTGCCATGGAATGGTTGGCCCTATGTTCTGTTGCTTCTTTAGGTTGTAATTGCTATACAATACCAGTGACCTCAGTGCTTATGTATTCATATCTTGTTAAAGTTGCTTTTGGCAGCTGAATTTTTGCAGCTTTGCACTAGTTACTGAACCTTAACCCCAATAACACTTATTGAACCTTAGGGCCAATTATAACAACAACAACTGCATCGTGTTCAAAGCCCCTCTGTATCAGTGCGGGACTCTCAAGCAATTCATGGAGTCAAGTTTGTTTCTTATACAGTCTATACTTGTCGGTTTTTAGCAGTCAATCCTAGGAAAGGTAGCAGACACTGCTCAGAGTAAAGGCTAAAAATAACTTAATGTAACAAAATTTGAACTCACATCTTCAATGCACTGTTTCACAACGGCAGCTCAGGGCGGTACATTGTTCACAACCCATCTTGGACATTATTGCAATTTGTGGTTGAAGCTTGGGACACGGTTTGGGTGATAAGAGTGACGTGATGTTCCTAAAGTTCTCCTGTCTATCCTTTGAATTACGAAGTTTTCTTATACATTAGATCATAATTATATTTAATTTATTTTAAGACTTTTAAAAAAAGATATTACTTTTTTATTTCTGTGCATCAAAAACTTTAAAATGTTGATTTCAAATTTAGTGATGTCTCAATAATAGTACTGTAATGTTTTCACCAATTTTCATAGCTTTTTTGTAACGTTTACTGAGGTTTTATTTTTTGGTGTGGGTGGTTGGCGGGTGCTCTGGTGTGGTTTGCTTCTTCTTTCTTATCAAACACCTGTCGTCCTTATCTCCCCTTCTTCTTTTTTATGTTTGTTACTCTCTTGTAACACCTCTAATCTCCTGGCGCTCATATGACCTTATGCAGTTGCGAGCGCTGTAAAACCTCAACTTATACTAAATACTTGTTTTTTGGTGCACCATAAATCCTGAGACACAGAAAAAAGCCAGGGGCTGAGCTTTACAGTTCAATTTAAAAAAAACAGTGCCTGTGCAGTGTTACGTAATTTTAAAAAAATTTTTTAATCTAATCTCTTGACAGGTTTTCTTGATAGCAGCAGTGAGGTGTGCTGCGACGGCTGTCTCAGAAAATATCTACCACTGTGACGAACATGCTGGGCGGCCCAAGTTGCTTCCAGTGGCTCTGTGCAAACAGCTTTGCAGTCAAGAACAGGAGGAATGGTGGTCAACAGCTGTCAAATTCTGCACCAACGCTGTCAAGTGAGTTGACAGTGATTTGATGCTTGATGAAAGCAGTATAGCAAAGATGGGGGTTTTCTTCACCCTTTACCTTAGCAGTTATGGCATATAACTGGCTGCGTTCTTTCGTGGGATTTGTTATGTGGTGATAGTATCTTCAAGGGGTTATATCAGCAAAACAGTTTCCATTACTGCTGTTTGCTGGGACATTTCAGTAACCCACTTTCAGCACTCTTCAAGGACCCACGTGCGACTGTTGAGTTCCTGCGTGCTGTCGGCATAGCTGGACGTTTATGATGCCACAGTGCCAGAAGAGAGAGAGAGATCACTGCTGTCATGCTTTCTATTGATATTGTCAATGAGGTTGCCCGGAAGCCTGAATGCTATCTCGTGCTGACTGGCCAACAGCTGATTTTCAGCAGCCCAGTTCGATCGGCTGATGTTTGTTTTCTCAGTGAAAATTGTACGGGAGTAAGTCCCCCTGCTTGGCTGGGGGCAGAATATTTATGCCAATCAAAATAAAGAGTATTGGAGAGTTGTGTCTTTCTGAGAACCGCATACATGGTTTGTTTGTTTGGGTTTTTTTTCTCTTACAGAACTGACTTTGCTCGTCTGCGACGTGTGCTGGTTCGGGGCATTGAAACAGTGCGGCTCATCGGGTCTCATGGCATGTCTGTATCAATGATTGCTCATATTGCCCGGTCTCTCGATGCCAAGGTGAGATTTGTATTAAGTCGTAGTGCACCTTGACGTGGGGCATTATAGTTTAATGTAGAGGGAGTTTAATTGTAACCTAATACGGGGTGCCCACTACGGATGGGGTCGGGCAGATCCCCCGACTTGATCGCCTCAAGAACAAATGTGTTTGTTTTCAGTTTCAGGTGATCGAGTCGGGCGATCGGCCCGATCCCGCCATAGTGGGCACCCCGTATAATGACCTGACACTGAAGTTCCATGTTCTGAGTCAATGTCTTCTGGCTTCAGGCTGTCTTATCACCAAGTTTTGGCTTTAGAACTCTTTGCTTTAATTTAATTATCATATATACAAAAAGTGGAATTCTCCTACCTAGTCGAAATGTTTCACTCAGCTAACTAAAAATTGAAATAAATAGTGCCTTTTTCTTTTGTAAGAATCTGGTGTATTTACTTGAAATAACTGACCCATGGCCTGTTCAAGTTTTGTTTTTCTACAATGTTACAAGGTTGAATTTTGTCTTTTTTTAAATGGCTGCTTATTTCCAAAAAATAAACCTACGTTGTTCTTGTAGAAAGCCAGTCGCTGTAATGCCTGACTACAATGTCCCCAGTTTGAATCCGCAACAGAGCATTTGGAATTTGGGGGGAGGGGGGTGGACTCTCCACTCACTTGGGGCAGTCCTATCGGAGATAGTATTATTAAATTCAAAGGTCCGTCCCCTTAAATTGACTTGGCTGACAGTGTTTGGGTTTTTTTGTTTTAAATCCATGTCATTCATACTAAACAAACAGTGTTGATAAAGCTGAATGTTGATTTCACTTCTGGCTAAAATTTCTGCACAGATACAAAGTCTGAAGGACTCTGAGTATGGCTGCCGATGTCCAGTCTTTGAACTTGCTGCTTTGGAAAACAGGGTGGCTTTCTATTGGGAAAAGGCTAAGAAAGCAATTGAGCTGTTTCAAAGGTATCTGTTATCTTTTAAAAAAATATTTTATGACTTTTTGTATGTTGTAGTCGTTGTCTTCACACAAACACACACACGGGTACTCAATTTGAGTAGTAAGTCTGTTACATTTGACAGGGGACAGAGATACTTGGGCTGGAGTGGGTGGTTGACAGGTGCTCTGGTGTGGTTTGCTTCTTCTTTCCTATCAAACGTCTATCGTCTTTATCTCCCCTCCTTCTTTTTTGTGTTTGTTACTCTCTTGTAACACCTCTAATCTTCGGCACTTATATGGTCTTATAAAATTGTGTTGCAAGTACCGTAAAACTCTTGGTAAAACTAAATACTTGTGCTGGAGAAACCTTCTTGGATTAAAAATTAGTTTTGTTTTTGAAGAGAGATACCAATATCCCTTCTATGTTTATATATATATATATATATATATATATATATATATATATATATGTTTCATAAATTTCTTCCTTTTGTCATTGTAATTTAAGATGGGCTTTTCTCCGTACATTTTCAACTATGTTTTCTGTTCTTGTATTGAAATTCTTTGTACCAAGAAAAGGTTAAAAGATTAAATAGACTTTTTTTGAAATTGCCTAATTGTCACCTCTGTTACGTTCATGCAATTCTTTTATGGCAATGCAAGGGGGCAGGCGTACAGTAAAGGAGTGAGTATGATACTCTTTTTGGAAGTAGTGTTACGTTGTGTCGCCAGTTATAAATGTTTGTTTCAGTAGTCTTTTTTTGTTTTTAATATAGTAGAGGGTTTTACAGCGCTCGCAACTGTACAAGGCCAAACGAGTCCCAAGGGGTAGGTGTCAACAGAGAAGTCTTTACAGGGAATCAGACTTACTATGCTCACCTATCTAGCTTTAACAGCACAAGGTCTGCTTCAACTATCAAGGCACCCTGGAAATAGCAGGTCACAAGAGAGTGACAAACATACAAAAGAAGTAGAGGAAATGACAATAGTAAGGATTAGGAAAGAAAAAGCAGCAGTTCCCTGTTTTAGATCAGGCACAGTTATGAGCGTGACATGAATCAGCCCATTTACAATTCTACTATGCTTGAACGAGAAATGTCCCCACCCCACCCCCCACCCCCTTGGGAATGGCCTAAAGACACTACAGTCAGTAGCACTGCCCCGGGGGAGAACAGTAGTCTAAAGGGAGATGCTTGCGTTTTAGGCTAATGCACGTTTTATTTGGATTCTTATCCTGTTGGGTCATTTCTTTACTTCCCGGGAAGTTTTCATCATATTTTACTTTTTTTTTTCCTTTTTTCTTTTTGTTTTTTTGTATTGCCATATATTATGGTTGAGAGGAAAAAGAGAGGGTTTCGGAAAAGAGAGAAATGTTTCAACTCCTGTGCAGTCTTTTTATTCATTTTATTCATCTCATTTTAAGAGTTGGGGAGCAGGTGATTGGCAGGTGCTCTGGTGTAATTTGCTCCTTCTTTGCTGTCAAACATTATCATCCTTATCTCTCCTCCTTCTTTTTTGTGTTTGTTACTCTCTTGTAATACCTCTAATCTTTGGCATTTCTATGAACTTATTGTGTTGTTGCAAATGTCATAAAATACCTAGTGGGTGGTTGGCGGGTGCTCTGGTGTGGTTTGCTTCTTCCTTCCTGTCAAACATCTATCGTCCTTTTCTGCCCTTCTTTTGTCTGTTTGTTACTCTCTTCTAACAGCTCTAATCTTCTGGCGCTCATATGACCTTATGCAGTTGCGAGCGCCGTAAAACTTCTACTAAAACTAAAAAAAAGAAACTCTACTAAAACTAAAACTAAAATGCCTAGTAAATAGTAAAACAGAGTCCAGGCATAAATCTACCCCTTGACACACCCCCCCCCCCTCGCCGCAGGAGCCAGCACATCCCGATGCCCAAGAACCGTTTGTTCAAGGAAGTGGACGACATCCACCTGCCCCCCACTCTGCTGGAACACTACAAAACGGAGGCTGGCTTTGCCCTGTCTCTGTCTGCCATGAGAAATGGACAGTTTGAGGCAGCCATTGAAGGCTTCAGCAAGCACAGGTCTCCATGGGCCAAGTTCTACACAGCTCAGGTCAACATCATCATTGTATTGAAATCCTAGTTGTTACAAAACCGTGGCATATATGATCTGTTTCGGATAAAGGGGAAAATAATTGAATTCTTTGTTTTTCAATGCATCTTTTTTTTTCTCATCATCGAATTTTTTTTCAAGATTTTTATTTTTATTTGTAACAAATAGTTTTTGACATAGTCTGAAATTCAGAATTATGTTATTTGGCAACATTATACAGCATCATATGCATGTGTTCAGGCTTCTGCACACTCAGTCCATGCAATCACTGTGTGTATCTTTATTTTGACAAAAAAGCTAATTTATTACTGTTGACATATATTTTACACAAACCGTAAAGGAGTGGAAAATTGTAGATATTTTTTTTGTTGCTTTGTTAGATCTACAAAATACTGGCAGAGAAAGCTAACGATGAAGATGCGGTTGTCAACTCAAAGAGTGAGGCTTTGTTCGTCAAGGCAAGGGACTGTTTGTACGACGTGAAGGACCGCCTTGCTGGAGATACAACTCACGTAAGCTTATTGATACTGACTGGTGTGGTTTGCTTCTTCTTTCCTATCAAACATCTATCGTCCTTATCTCCACTCCTTCTTTTCTATCTTTGTTACTCTCTTTTAACACCTCTAATCTTCTGGCGCTCATATGACCTTATGCAGTTGTGAGCGCCTTAAAACCTCTACTAAAACTGAACCTGATACTGACTTTAACAAATGTAATATGTGTGAGGCTCTGAGAAAACCCTTCACAAGGTGCAAAATTTCAAAATGAACTTTTTTGCATATTTTAAAAGACACATCTTTTCCGAGC